GAACAATTGTTTTGATTCAAGCTTTCTTTGATATTGTAGATACAATATTTGCCCGTGTTTGTTTGAAGGAATTTAGAACTCATCAATTTCTTCATCTTACGCCATGTTCTAATAGGTTGTTTGTATTGTCGCCTTCGATCATACTGCAATTGTTTTCACCATATAGAAACATAACCTTGTAACTTACGTACGACATATTTGACTTGCTTTTCTTCAGAGATTTCCATACACTCAAGGAATTTGTCAACTTTGCGAAACCAATAAATAAAATCTTTGGCATGACAAGAAGCATTAAAATAGGGAATTTCTAGTGGTACTTGATAATTTGAAAAGTCATGATTAATGTAATTATTGCTATTGAACACATCACTGAATCTTCGTTGTCGCCTTACCGACTGGTATTTACCATAATCCTCGAATAACGCATCTTCAGATTCATCCTCATTATCATATTGATAACAAGAAGATCGTCTCAAGACGTTGTGGTTAATAGGCTGGCCTTAGGCAAATCCCATAGCGCGGTTCCTATTAACGTTGTGACTAACATGTTGGCCTTGGGCAAGCCCCTTGACTCGAATCCTATTAAACCTTTCTCTACGATCATCGTCAATAGAGCTTGTGCTTCCTCTTTTGATAAATGACATCGAGCCAGGAGAAACCTTGCTCTGATACCACTTGACGCAGCAGAATACATGGGGACTAGATATCGTTCTAGCAGACGAAAGGGGCTCTCGAATCCACGAGAAAAATAAAACCTTAAATCCACAAAGAAGAGAAAATATCTTAATATTATTGATTGAATGAATAAAATTTGTATATAGTTGTCTTTGCCATGAGGCTTACATAACTATTTATAATAAACTAAACCTAATACTTGTAGGAAAAGTAATTGTAAAATAAACTAGGAAACTTAAATCAAAACAAATTCGAAAACCTAAGAGAATAGGAAACTAGAATTCTAAACTATTTAAAATCTTAGTCAAAATCTAATTCCAAAATAATAAAATTAAGAAACCTAATAATTCTAAATTATTTATACTAAATTACAAGAATCCTAATAAAATAATATATCAAAAATATTAAAACTAAAAATATAAAAATTCTTAAAATCTTGTCCTACATCAGACTCCTCTTCTTTGAAAGAACTCGCCCTCGAGTTCATATTGGAGATCTGTCATCTTCCATGCCAAATAATAAGGTATTTTGAATACTTCAGTTGCTTATCCCTCTTCCACAAGTTATATGTAGAAAAATTTTCTTTTTGAAAGTTATTCTCTATATGCTTCAACTGGTCGACATAATTAAATCCCTTTTGAAGAATTTAATTTTTTTTGATAATATAATTATTATACTTTAAAATAAAATAGTAATTTTTTAAAACTATCATTTGATAGTACAATTGTCACACTTCAAATAATGTTAATGAATTTAGTTGAAGGACAAAATAGGAAATTTATAAAATTTTAACCCTTAATTTTTGAAAAAAGACTAATATTTTGAGATAATAAAAATGAAATAAGAGATTAATATTTTAAAACGAAAAGAGTAAATACTAGTTGGTAAGTATTATATGGTGTTATCTATGTAATGTTTTTGACAAATAAAAAATTAAACTCTCTAGCAAAAATGAGTTGGCATATTCCGTTGGTAAACTTTCTTCTACACCATTAGTTTGAACAATTACATTAATAATGTCACATAATACTTCAAGAATATATAATAATTATCTATTTTAGTTGGGAAAAGACTAGTTGGATGTGTATCATATGTACCTTATAATTAAAAGAAAAAAATAGTATAATTATATATTTTTTGAGTCATAGCTAAAATAAAAAATAACAAAAATCATAACCAAATATTACATGAGGCATAATCAAATATTTCATGACTCATAACTAAAATAATGTTATAACTAAATAAAAAAATTGGTTATAACTAAAGCAGAAAATGACATAATTAAAGTCACGTTTATTTGGCTCTACACGATGGAGAGGACTAAGAATACGGTGAGATTGAATGAGGAAATTATTAATGTGGTGGTATTAGGTTGGAGATATAAGATAAATAGTATTTGTTTGTACGCCATTGGATTAGTAATATTATAGATGTTATTATTACCTTAAATTAATATTTTTAAATTTTTAGTATTTTTTTAATATCATAATTTTTTAATAAATAGAATTGGATATCAAATTTCTCTGTAGGGACCTTAGACATCATAAAATAATATTGTGGACTAATTTTCTCCTTAAAATATGATGGAAATAAAAAAAAATAGAAAAAGATAATTAAATGGTAAAAGATTTGTGCTCAAATAACAAATTTTGTTAACCAATTTTCACCTCTTGATTTCATTCTTAGCATAATATTTATTTATTTTTCGTTCAACCTCAAACCTTCTCTAGAAATCCTGCTGTCCTTTTGACCACCCTCCTCTCCTCTTCTCTCTTGACTATCTTTTATTAATCTTCCTTCCACAATCAACTAAGGGTACGGTTGTTTAGACGGACTTGATAAGGGGGGATTGTAATTCATTAGATTATTAGTCTTGGGATACATTATCCCGGAACTATTTAGTTAGACTAAATTTATATCCTATGTTTGTTTAGTCATAGAATTAGATGTCTGGATTGGACTATTTTTAGTTATCTAATATTTGTTTGCGATATTATGGAGAATGATAAATGCTCAAATTACTATTTTATCCTTTTCAGTTATTTATTAAGTAATAGCAATATTAAACATAACTTAAATATTTTAATTATTTTTAGCTAGATTAAATAAAAATTTATTTTATTTTATTTTTTGCACAATATTTTAATTATTTTAATTTATTATTTTCAATTAAATTAAATTTATAATTTATATTTTTTATTTAATAGATAATTTTAAATTAATGACAATAAAATATAATTTTATTTAATATATAAATTAAATTTTCAACAATACAAAAAAAATTAATTTATAAGGCCATAATTTATAATTTATTATTTTTAAATAAATTTAATCTATAATTTATATTTTTTATTTAATATATAATTTTAAATTAACAACACTAAAAAAATAATTTTATTTAATATGTAAATTTAATTTTTCAACAACAATAAAAAAATTTAATTGAATTTTTTAACAACACTAAAAAAATTTAATTTATAAGGCCATAATTTTTAATTTATAATTTATAATTAAATTTAATTAATAATTAATAATTTAAATTTTTTATTTAATATATAATTTTAAATTAACAACACTAAAAAAATAATTTATAAATGTTCAAAAGGCTATTTTATCATTTTCTAATTGTTTGCTAAGTAATAACATGGAGGGTAAAATGGACATTCCACAAAATAATCTCATGAGATACCAATCTCATGGTTTCTATCCCACCCTCCCCATGGGATAGGATAGTCCCATGTTTGTGGGACTAATAGTCCGGGGAGACTATTAGTCCGGAGCAAAAAAAATAAAACAAACAATGGACTATTCATCCGGTGGAACTAATAGTCCAATTCCACCCTCTAATCCTTCAAAACAAACACACCCTTAGAGTGTAGTCCCACTACAACCATCCACGACCAAACACTCTTTATGGGATCCTCTCTCACTATTGGTCTAATTCCTTTACTCATGGAGCCAAGCAAACATGGCATAAGAATGCATATAGTATATTCCTTTCTAAGGGGATATATATTAGAATTTCCCAATTCTAGTTGGGCACTGGTGCGTAACTGAGAAAGCAAGGAGGCTTAGTCTAATTGACAATTGAGGGTGGGAAGACTAATTCCCATAAGTGTTAAATTAATAATTGATTTTTGTCGATAAAATTTTTTTTCGTACGTGATAGAAAACATTTTAGATATAAGAAATTAGAACTGTAAATAAATCGAGTAGTAAATTTTTTAAAATTAACTTTACAATTTAATAAATTTTAAAATATGTTAAAGTCTAAGAAAATGTTGTACCATATGCACTTTACCACAAAATGTATAATTTTATCACAAAATTTCTTAATGTTAATTACAAAATGAGTAACCTTATAACAAATTGACGTAACAAAATGTCTAAAATTTGTGGTTAATATTTCAAAAGTTTGTAACTTAGTCATGATATTTTTTGTTACGTCAATTTGTGATAAAATTACGTATTTTGTAGTTAATATTATGAAATTTTATACTAAAATTATACATTTTATGGTCGAAATGTATATGATATATCCCAAAAAAGATGCACACTATAAAAGAATTATAAAATTTAATTTATTTATACAAATTCTTTTTATAATAAATATAAAATTATTTAATTTATTTAAATTTACCAAACCGAATAGATTCTATTAAAGGTGGTTGCCGCTCGCACAACTATACACGTCTCTTGTAAATCCAAGCTGGATTGTCATATGTCAACAAATAAAAAAAAAAAATTAAAAAATAATAATTTTACCCATACTACACTACACCTGCTATACCTCGCCGCAACCATAAAAATATAAAACTACTAACTACACATGAGACAATTTTTTTTTTTATATATAGCAACGACTGTCCCTTAAAAAAAAAAAAAAATAATAATATAATTTTACCCATACTACACTACACCTGCTATACCTCGCCGCCCACCACACCATAAAAACAATAACGATGAAGACCACTAAAACATTATTATTAATAGTGTGATAAGCTAAAAAAAAATAAAAATAAAGCACAAAATACATTATTATTAATAGTGTGATAAGCTAAAAAAAAATAAAAATAAAGCACAAAATACATGTGACAGTGAATTCCTAATACAACCACTAATTAGTGACCTCCATCATTTTTGCCATAAAAATATAAAACTACTAACTCCACATGAGACAATTTTTTTTTTTATATATAGCAACGACTGTCCCTTGTTCACCGTCATTCCTAATTTCCTATGTAATTTACCATGGCCTGCCTCTTCTTCCAAATTCAGCTCGTTCCAATCCCACCACGACCACGACCACGACCACGACTACCATCATGGCTAGCAATGACAACCACAACTCCTTCTCCAACCACTTCACCATCCTCCTAATCGCTGCCTCAACGGCCGCTATCGTCATCGTCCTCTACCACTGCTTCAACGCTTGTTGCTACAACCGGAGAAACCCCCAACGCCACAACCGAACACTGGTTCTCCGACAAGGAGAGATTCCGGGCCTCATACCGGCCCACAAGTATGAAAAGGAAACGAAATTGGTCCGAGAAAATCGGACTTGTGTGGTTTGCTTGAACGAGTACGAGGAGGGTGAAGAACTTCGTACGTTGCCTGAGTGCATGCACTCTTTCCACGTGGCTTGTATTGATATGTGGCTCTATTCCTGTTCAACTTGTCCGGTTTGCCGAACTGATACGACGCCGTCTCCGTTTGAGTTTAAGGTTTGTTTGGAGCCTTGTTTGGATGGATAGACCTCTGAACAAGATCTTTGCTTGGCACCGAATTTCGGTGTGCAATTAGGGGTTTTGTGATAGTAATAATGATAGAGACTCCTTTTTAAGAAATTCTTACAACTCTTAAAGTGATTCATACCATTCATGATTTGGGCTTTATACATACATGAGTAGATTTCACACATACATGAGTGGTATGAATCATTTTAGAATTGTAGGATTTCAAAAAAAAGAAGGTCTTACTCATTTTCCTTATGATAGTGGAAAAGGTTTGACCATTTGTCTAGGCTCCTTTTTTTTTTTTTTTTTTTGTTTTCAAAAAAATTAATATTCTAGTGGAGGTGTTATTAGGCCTTGTACAACTCTAATATAATAATTTAGAACAATTTATTTTGTTACAGGCAGGTAGATTGTTGATTAAAAAAATTAGATTGCTTTGATAATTA